CTTGACAAAATAATTTGCATATTAAGAGGAATTTAGCATATTTATGGGAAATGCAGATATGGGGATTAGTCACTACTTGTTGTAGCGATGTTGAACTTGTTTAGCATCGTACGTAGCCAACCTTGCCACAGAGGGCGCAAACGGGTTTTGATTCCTTACTCGTACCCGTACCCGGCCGCACCAGGGTCGCAAACGGGTACCCGGCCGGGTACGGGTAGCCGGGTATCGGGTAAGGTGCAGGTATCGGGTAGGGTACGGGTATCGGGTAGGGTACGGGTATCGGGTCGGGTACGGGAATCGGGTAGGGTATGGGTATTGGGTAGGGTATGGGTATCGGGTAGGATACATGTATCGGGTAGGGTACGGGTATCGGGTATGGGTATTGGGTAGGGTACGGGTAGGGTAGGGTATCGGGTAGGGTACGGGTATCGGGTAGGGTACGGGTATTGGGTAGGGTACGGGTATCGGGTAGGGTACGGGTATTGGGTAGGGTACGGGTAGCCGGGTATCGGGTAGGGTACGGGTATCGGGTAGGGTACGGGTAGGGTAGGGTACGGGTAGAGGGTATCGGGTAGGGTACGGGTATCGGGTAGGGTACGGGTATCAGGTACCCGGTTGCGACCTCTGCCGTGCCACCATGAGCCTGCTAAGACTTCACGGAGGAATCATTGTCTACATCTTTGTTGTAGCGATGTTGAACTTGTCTAGCACCGTACGTAGCCAAGCGTGCCACCATGAGCCTGCTAAGGCTACACGGGGGACGGGGGGCGCCTCTTTGTCTCTTGTTCTCAGCTGCTGAGCGCCATGAGCGCCGTCGCCGAGTACTGCCTGCCCTCCCTGCTGCGCACGCTCATCGACTGGTTCAAGCGGCAGAACGGCGTGGACGACGAGTCTCACGAGTATCGCCCACGCTCCAGCACCAAGTCCAAAGGGTGGGGACGAGCGCACACACACGCACGCACACACGCACACACACACGCACGCACACACGCACACACACACACACAGCACGCACGCGACACGCACGCACGCACAGACACGGATTGACACACGCACACACACACACTGACGGACACGCGCATTGCCACACACACACACGTACGCACAGACACGGATGGACACACGCACAAAAAACACGGACGGACACGTGCATGCACACGCACACACACACACACACGTACGGGTGGCCACACGTACGCACAGACACGGATGGACGCACGCACACACACACAACGGACGGACACGCGCATGCACACACACACACGGACAGACGCACACACACGGATGGACACACGCACCGCACACACAGACACACACGCAGACACACAGACACACACGCAGACACACAGACAAACACACGCACAGCATTGACACAGATACACACAGACACATATAAACACACGCACAGACACATACGCACAGACAACAACCGCCATTCGCCACTAAGTGGCGGTGACGTCACCACGACGCTTGTGCCAGGCCATGTGCACCTTGAGGCTGTCACGTGAAGTGTCGAACGCCCGCTGGCAGGAGGTCACGGGGCAGACCCAGCAGGTGCCACGGGTCGACTGACTGAGATGACCGAGACGACTGGCTGATGCACCACCTGTGCCCCCTACTGTGCACACACACACACGCACACACGCAACAACAACAACCGCCATTCGCCACTAAGTGGCGGTGACGTAACCACGACGCTTGTGCCAGGCCATGCGCACACACACAACATTCTGTTAAAGGCTATACGGGGGATCTTTGTCTTAGTGTGCGAAAGTTGGTGCATCTGAAAGTCATCGCAGTCAGTCCACCCATGACACCCGTGGTCTGTCCTGTGACCCCCTGGATAAGGCGTTGTCATCATGAACTTCGTACACGAAGATGAGATCCACTCGTGTGTAGCCTTAACGGACTGATTGGGCAAGTGCCCTTTCAGCAACTGTGCAGGCCGGCATGGCACACGAGGGTTGGGTGGCCAGCACCACACCTGGCCGCCTTTGTCATTTTAATGAGGCTGAGTCGACCTAGGGGAGGCCCAGGACCGGTTCAGATAATCGTCACTGGTGTTGGCCATGAGCGGGAATCGAACTCGGGTCGCCAGGTTCGTGGTGCAGCGCGTTAACCGCTACGCTACCGCTCCCCTACAAAGACACAGATCCCCCGTATAGCCTTAACAGACTGTAGGGGCAAGTGCTGTTAGCGAGCACCTATGAGGCCGGCACGGCACACGAGGGGGTGGGTGGCCAGCACCACGCCCGACCGCCTTTGTCTCCCCAGTGGCGATGTTTACACACCGCACCAGGTACTCATTTGAGGCTGAGTCGACCTAGGGGAGGCCCGGGACCGGTTCAGATAATCGTCACCGGTGTTGGCCGTGAGCGGGAATCGAACCTGTGTCGCCGGGTTCATAACGCAGCGCGCTAACCGCTACACTACCGCTCCCCACTCAACAGCAAACAACAACAAAGATCCCCCGTGTAGCCTTAACAGGCTGTAGGGGCAATTGCTGTTAGCGAGCACCTATGAAGGCCGCAACGGTACACGAGGGGGTGGGTGGGTGACCAGCACCACGCCCGACCACCTTTTCACCACACCCCCACCCCCCCCGGTCTCATCTCCGCCGTTGGCGTTTTGTTTATTTGGTGTTCAGGGACGAGCAGCACCGTGACAGAGACTTCCTGTTCGAGCGGAGAGACCTGGCCATCGACTTCATCTTCTGCCTCGCCCTCATCGAGGTCCTCAAGCAGGTGAGACGCTCGGCGCGCGGGAGCTCCAAGGGGCATCGGTGGAGCTCCGTGGAGGAGCTCGGTGGAGCTCGGGGGTCGAGCTTTGTGGTGGAGCTCGGTGGTGGAGCTCGGTGGTGGAGCTCAGTGGTGGAGCAGCTCGGTGGAGCTTGGGGAAACTCGGTTGTGGAGTTTGGGATAGCTCGGTGGAGCTTGATGGAGCTCAGTGGTGGAGCTCAGTTGTGGAGCTTTGTGGAGCTCAGTGGTGGAGCTTGGTGGAGCTCAGTGGTGGAGCTTGGTGGAGCTCAGTGGTGGAGCTTGGTGGAGCTCAGTGGTGGAGCTTGATGGAGCTCAGTGGTGGAGCTCAGTGGTGGAGCTCCGTGGTGGAGCTCCGTGGTGGAGCTCAGTGGTGGAGCTCAGTGGTGGAGCTTGGTGGAAGCTCGGTTGTGGAGCTCGGGGAAGCTCGGTGGAGCTTGATGGAGCTCAGTGGTGGAGCTTGGTGGAGCTCAGTGGTGGAGCTCAGTGGTGGAGCTCAGTGGTGGAGCTCAGTGGTGGAGCTCAGTGGTGGAGCTCAGTGGTGGAGCTTGATGGAGCTCAGTGGTGGTGGAGCTCCATGGAGCAGCTCGGAGGAGGAGTTTGGTGGAACTCGGGGTGGCAAGCACCACCCACAGCCTCCGCCATTCTCCCCGTTGGCGATGTTTACGCACCGCACCGCGGTTACCCATTTGAGGCTGAGTCGACCTTTGTCGAGGCCTGGGACCGGCTCCGAGATTATCGTCGCTGCTGGTGTGTCGGCGGCGGCGGCCGTGAGCGGGGAATCGAATCCGGGTCGCCGGGTTTTGCCGCGCGGCGCGCACTAACCGCTGCACCGCCACTCCCCGCGCACGCTTTGAATTTTTTAGCGATTCGCTGAGCTTAGTCTGATCGTTAATCTCGGGCCGTCTGCTGTCGTGCGTGTGTGTGTGTGTGTCCGTCAAATGGTTGTCTGGCTCTCGTCCAACGACTCAGGGTGGTTTTTAGCCGTTGCGGCATTCCCTGATATAAAATAACAAAGAAATTATTTCAGCAGAACCCCCTCTCAACCGTCCACCCCTGTTAACGGCTAACGACCCCACAGACTCACACAGACAACAACAACAACAAGCGCCATTCGCCACTAAGTGGCGGTGACGTCACCATGACGCTTGTGCCAGGCTAGGCGCACCTCGAGGCCACGTGAAGTGTCGAACGCCCGCTGGCAGGAGGTCAAGGGTCAGACCCAGGTGCCACGGGTCGACTGACTAAGATGACCGAGATGACACACACACACACACAACAACAACAACCGCCATTCGCCACTAAGTGGCGGTGACGTCACCACGACGCTTGTGCCAGGCCATGTGCACCTTGAGGCCACGTGAATTGTCGAACGCCCCCTGGCAGGAGGAGGTCACGGGGCAGACCCAGCAGGTGCCACGGGTCGACTGACTGAGATGACCGAGATGAATGGCTGATGCACCACCTGTGCCCCCTACTGTGCCAACTTGCTGTACTTTAGCCACCCGGCGCTCCCATAGACTCACACGCAGGTGACTCATAGACTCGCACAGAGACCAGGTTCTCTGTACGAGTCTTGAGTCTCTGTTTGCACATCTCTGTGCGTCTATGGCTCTCGGTGTATGACCCATTGTGTCTCTGTGTAGGTCTGTGGCTCTGTGTATGAGTCCGTGGGGTCTCTGTGTGAGTCTACGGCTCTCCGCGTGAGTCTGTGGCTCTCCGCGTGAGTGTGTGCCTCTCGGCGCGAGCCTATGTGTCTCTGGTATAACCTTCGCAGCTTCTGTGCGGAGGTCTGTGGGCTTCTGTACGATATCGGACCTCCCTGTGAGCTCAAGGCCAGACGGTGGGAGACTTTCGATTTGAAGCTTTCGTGACTGCAGGGATTCATCTTCTTGGTTCTTTCGGTAAAGTCACGTAGAAGAGAAATAATAAAAATAAAAATAAAACATAATAAAATAATTCTCACGACGTTTCGGCCACAACGCAAGCAGCCGTCCTCAGGTGAAGAACAGGTCTGTCGGGAAGACAGCGTCTGAATGAACCCATTTATTTAATATTTTTCATTCATTCAGACGCTGTCTTTCTGACAGACCTGTTCTTCACCTGAGGACGGCTGCTTGCGTTGTGGCCGAAACGTCGTGAGAATTGTATTTTATTATGTTTTATTTTTATTATTTTATCATTTCCCTTCTACGTGACTTTACCGAAAGAACCAAGAAGGTGTCAGGGGCAGATCTTGGTGCTCACTGCGCGTGTCTCCTGTGCAGCAGCTGTAGGATCTGGTGGTGAGTAGAGATCTTTGACCGATGAGGTGGTGGCGGCGGTGATGGCGGTGGTGGCATCGTGGTGTCTTGATTTTACAGATTCCAGTGCATCCCGTGCCTGACTCAATGGTGCATGAAGTTGTCAACTTGGCTTTCAAGCACTTCAAGTACCGAGAAGGGTGAGTATTCGAACCTCTTTCCCGTGGGCAGGGTGGGTGGATGGGTGTGTCGTTCGCCACCGAATCTCGGAAACGCACCAACCCAAGCCCCACCCACCATCCAAACCCACCCACTTCAAATGCACTTTTGGGGCAGTGCGAATTCTATTCTCCGTGGGTGAGTGTTCTGCACTTACACAGGTGGCGTGTGTGCGTGTGCGTCTCTCCCCTTCCCAGGTATTCGGGTCCCAACATCGGCAACATGCACATCATCGCTGACCTCTATGCAGAGGTCATCGGAGTGCTGGCACAGTCCAAGTGAGTGACCATCGCCCCATTCGCCTGTCGTCATCATCATCATCATTGTCAAGTTTAAAGTTAATTTCTTTCTGGGCTCCGCATGTTTCGTTTCTGCGTGGGATAGAGCGTTGCTCCCTCGCACGTGCGGGTTTTCTCCTGGTGCTTCGGTTTCCTCCCACGTGCGAACTCATTCATTGGCCGAAAACACCTTCATATAGAGAGGACTGCAGTGCTTGGACACATTGTTAGTAGCGCCGGCTTGCCGCATAGCTGATGCCTTCCCGCTGGTCTGTGGTTCTCCGTGGCGAGATGTTACAGTGAGGATGGGTATTCCAGCATGACAATGACCCAAAACACACGGCCAAGGCAACAAAGGAGTGGCTCAAGAAGAAGCACATTAAGGTCCTGGAGTGGCCTAGCCAGTCTCCAGACCTTAATCCCATAGAAAATCTGTGGAGGGAGCTGAAGGTTCGAGTTGCCAAACGTCAGCCTCGAAACCTTAATGACTTGGAGAAGATCTGCAAAGAGGAGTGGGACAAAATCCCTCCTGAGATGTGTGCAAACCTGGTGGCCAACTACAAGAAACGTCTGACCTCTGTGATTGCCAACAAGGGTTTTGCCACCAAGTACTAAGTCATGTTTTGCAGAGGGGTCAAATACTTATTTCCCTCATTAAAATGCAAATCAATTTATAACATTTTTGGACATGCGTTTTTCTGGATTTTGTTGTTGTTATTCTGTCTCTCACTGTTCAACTAAACCTACCATTAAAATTATAGACTGATCATTCCTTTGTCAGTGGGCAAACGTACAAAATCAGCAGGGCATCAAATACTTTTTTCCCTCACTGTAACTACCTCGCACTGGTAATACAGGAGGTCGTGGGTTCCAACCCGACCATGACGCCTGCTGCTGTATATTTGGAGTTTGCGTGTCTCTCTCCCCGTGGTAGCGTGGATTTTTCTCTGGGTCCTCCGGTTTTTCACCTCCACATTTAGAACCGACGTCACGCGTTTAAGAGTATTTGCCCGCTGCTACAAATCCCCACACGATGATGATGATGATCATATGCCACTTCGTTGAGCTATCGTTTGTGGCCAGGTCGTCGCTTCTGAAAAAAATCTACGTAGCTCAGTGGGCCTTAGCTGGTGAAATAAAAAATAGTTTAGTTTAGCTTCCGGCTCCATGCGCCTCTGAGTTGTTCTCTCCCTTTGAGAACTAGCAACTTCTGTGTGGCACATCAGTTGAGATCATCATCATTATTATTCTTGGTTCTTTCGGTAAAGTCACGTAGAAGGGAAGTAATAAACAACGCGTTGTGGCCGAAACGTCGTGAGAATTATTTTATAATGTTTTATTGTTATTATTTTATTACTTCCCTTCTACGTGATGACTTTACCGAAAGAACCAAGAAGATGAATCCCTGCAGTCACGAAAGCTTTAAAGCGAAATCATCATTATTGTTTTTGCGAGTGTCCCCGTGACGTGTATCTTATCAACGTCCGGGCCGTGTTTTCAACTCGTGTTGTTCGTTCCGCCAGATTTGTATCCGCAAGGTGCTCCCACACCCCCCCACCCCCCACCCTCCCACCCCCCACCCTCTTCCAGATATGCGTCAACGGTCCGATGGCAAAAGTGCGACTCAAAAACGCGCCGCTCAAAATAATCACTTGCGTCTCGCCGTCCTTGCGGAGAATCGAAGTGACGAAAGAATTAAACGGACACAAGACCGCTTCCTCTCGTTTTCACGAGGTTCTGCTCGTGCTTTTTGTTGACGCGGTGTTGGGTTTGGTAGCGGCGGGCCAAGTCACGTTCACGTCAGTCAGAATATTTACTTGTCCAGTTGCCATCGTGACGTGTATCTTATCAACGGTCTGGCCCGTTTCCTACTCGCGTTTGCTGGTTTCAAGTTTCAAGATTCATTTCAAGTTTCATTTATTAGGTATAGACCTCTTCTTCTTGGTTCTTTCGGTAAAGTCACGTAGAATGGAAATAATAAAATAATAAAATCAAACATAATCAAATAATTATTTTATTATGTTTTCTAAATAAAGCATAATAAAATAATTATTTTATAATGCTTTATTTTTTTATTTTAATATTTCCATTCTACGTGACTTTACCGAAAGAACCAAGAAGACGAATCCCTGCAGTCACGAAAGCTTTAAATCGAAAAAAGGTATAGCCCTGTGAGCCATTCGGCTCTTGAATCGGGTGCAACCGCAACAAACAAAAAAACAAAAACATGACCAAGAAAACATCTTAAAGTGACTAAGTGACTGAGTGCAAACAGAAAATCCAAGAAAAGACAGCAAATTATTGCAGAAAAAGCACCGTACACCAACACTGTGTGCAAAAATCTCCGTGGAATGCAAGTCAACCCCCGGTTGCTCCACCCCCCCACCATCCTCCCACCACCCCCCCACCGAACCCACCCACCCCCAACCTTGCACCCGCAGGTTCCACACGGTACGCAAGAAGTTCGTGACGGAGCTGAAAGAGCTGCGCCAAAAGGAGCCTACCCCACAGGTGTCGCAGTGCATCATCAGCCTCATCATGGGCATCAAGTTCTTCCGCGTCAAGATGTACCCCGTGGAGGAATTCGAGGCCTCATTCCAGTTTCTGCAGGCACGTGTGCGTGTGTGCGTGTGTGTGTGTGCGTGTGTGCGTGTGCGTGTGTGTGTGTGCGTGTGCGCGCGTGTGCGTGTGTGCGTGTGTGTGTGCGTGCGCGTGTGCGTGTGCGCGTGCGTGCGTGTGCGTGCGCACGCGCGTATGCGTGCGGAGCGGCAGTGTAGCGTGAAACCACAACATTTACAATTTGTAAATGTTGTGGTTTCACGCTTCAACACACGAGGTTCTGCTAAAGCGTCAAAACCAAAGTGCACCTAGCCCTGCGCAAGCGTGCGACCTGCCTGTGTGCGTGCGTGTGTGTGCGGCGCCGATGCAGGAGTGCGCTCAGTACTTCCTGGAGGTCAAAGACAAGGACATCAAGCACGCTCTGGCCGGCATCTTCGTCGAGATCCTGGTGCCGGTGGCCGCTGTAAGTGTGCGACTGCTGCTCACCGCAACGAGCACCGCACGACACGGCAGAGGGGGTGTATATGGCACCCGCCGCGTGGCCTGCGACGGGGCATCAGTCTGCCAGTAGGGGGGTGATGTTTGCTGTGTTGCCTAGCCAGGGGGCACCCCCAGCGGCAGCCGTCCCCGTGTGACGCACGGTGACTCGGCACGCGACCTGTGATGGGGCATTATTCTCTGTGGTGAGATGTTAACTACCTCGCCTGGTATACAGGAGGTCGTGGGTTCCATCACGACCCTGACACCTGTTGTATATTTTGAGTTTCATGTGAAACCGTTTATTTAATATTTTTCATTCGTTCAGACGCTGTCTTTCCGACAGACCTGTTATTTACCTGAGGACGGCTGCTTGCGTTGTGGCCGAAACGTCGTGAGAATTATTTTATTATGTTTTATTTTTATTATTTTATTACTTCCCTTCTACGTGACTTTACCGAAAGAACCAAGAAGATGAATCCCTGCAGTCACGAAAGCTTGAAATCGAAAGATGCCCACTTTATTGAGGGCGAAATCAACTTTTATCGATTGATTTATCGATCCGGGGGGCGGTGGCTGGGGTGGGTGTGTAACCGTTCGCAGGCCGTGAAAAACGAGGTGAACGTGCCGTGCCTGAAGAACTTTGTCGACGTGCTGTACCAGACGACGTTCGACATGTCCTCGCGCAAGAAGCACTCGCTGGTGAGTCTCGCGGCCAGCGGATGAGCCGGGTTGTGGGGGTAGAGTAAAAAGTTAAAACAAAAAAAATCATATATAAAATAATAATCATATTTGTATTTTTTAAAAAAATTGTTACGAGGCAAAGATAAGGAAGGGAGAAATCGGCTGATCTGAAAAGCTTGGTTGATGTGTGTCTGTGGGCTGCGGCGGTGATGAGATGTTAACTACCTCGCCCGGTATGCGGGGAGGTCGTGGGTTCGATCCCGACCCTGACGCCTGCTGTATATTTGGAGTTTGCGTGTCTCTTTCTCTCATCATCATCATCACGGTGGCTAGGATATGTTCACTACCTCGCCTGGTCTACAGGAGGTCATGGGTTCGATTCCGACCCTGACGTCTGTGATATATTTGGAGTTTGCGTGTCTCTCTCTCATCATCACGGTGGCTAGGAGATGTTAACTACCTCGCCTGGTCTACAGGAGGTCGTGGGTTCGATTCCGACCCTGACGCCTGCTGTAGATTTGGAGTTTGCGTGTCTCTCTCTCTCTCCCCGTGGTCGCGTGACTTTTTCTCTGGGTCCTCCAGGTTTTTGCCCTCCACATTTAGAATCAACATGCATTTAGACTATGCGCCCTGCTATAAATTTCAATGTGACAATTGACTTGCTTGAGCTGTCTATTGTGATGGCCAGTTCGCTTCTGGTAAAATAAAAAATTGTCTAATAGGCGCTTGCTAACAACAGCACCGTGTGTATGGCCTTTAACGGGCGATCTTTGTCTCGTGCGTATTTGTTTTGCAGGCTCTCTTTCCGCTGGTCACGTGCCTGCTGTGCGTCAGTCAGAAGGCCTTCTTTCTCAACAACTGGCACATCTTCCTGGCGAGCTGTCTGTCGCACCTCAAGGTAACGCCTCATTGCAGCCACACAGAGACCCATAGACTCACACAGAGACCCACGACCTCACAGAGACCCACAGCCTCACACAGAGACCCACAGCCTCACACAGAGACCCATAGACTCACACGGAGACCCATAGACTCACACGGAGACACACAGACTCACACAGAGACCCACAGCCTCACACAGAGACCCATAGACTCACACAGAGACCCATAGACTCACACAGAGACCCATAGACTCACACGGAGACCCACAGACTCACACAGAGACCCACAGCCTCACACAGAGACCCATAGCCTCACAGAGACCCACATACTCACACAGAGACCCACAGAGACCCATAGACCCACAGAGACCCACATACTCACACAGAGACCCACAGACTCACACAGAGACACATAGACTCACACCGAGAACCATAGACTCACACATAGACCCATCGGCTTACACGGAGAGCCATAGACTCACACAGAGACCCATAGACTCAAACAGAGACCCATAGACTCACACGGAGACCCATAGACTCAAACAGAGATCCATAGACTTACACGGAGACCCATAGACTCACACAGAGACCCATAGCCTCACAGAGACCCACATACTCACACAGAGACCCACAGAGACCCACAGACTCACACAGAGACCCATAGACTTACACGGAGACCCACAGAGACCCATAGCCTCACACAGAGACCCATAGACTTACACGGAGACCTATAGACTCACACATAGACCCATAGACTCACACGGAGACCCACAGACTCACACAGAGACCCATAGACTCACACAGAGACCCACAGACTCACACAGAGACCCATAGACTCACACAGAGACCCATAGACTTACACGGAGACCCACAGACTCACACAGAGACCCATAGACTCACACAGAGACCCACAGACTCACACAGAGACCCACAGACTAACACAGAGACCCATAGACTCACACAGTGACCCATAGACTTACACGGAGACCCATAGACTCACATGTAGATCCGTAGCGGGTTCCCAGGTGTAGCAAGGAGGGAGCGTATTATTATTTGGTTCTTTCGGTTAAGTCACGTCTAAAGATCTTTAGACGTGACTTAACCGAAAGAACCAAATAATAATTCCTGCAGTCACGAAAGTTCTAAAATTAAGAAGGAGGGAGCGGTTCGTGCTACATGGATCGTCCTGTCGTAAGGGCTTGGTGAGGAGGCTTTAATCCAGCAGCGGATGGATCGAGGCTGACCATGACGATGATGACGACGTCGATGATGTTTTGCGTGCGAGCAGAACAAGGACCCCAAGATGTCTCGCGTGGCGCTGGAGTCTCTGTACCGGCTGCTCTGGGTCTACATGATCCGCATCAAGTGCGAGAGCAACACTGCCACGCAGAGGTAGGGGTCACACACACACACACACAGAGGTAAGGGACACACACACACAGGTAAGGGTCACACACACACAGGTATGGGACACACACACACAAGTAAGGGACACACACACACAAAGGTAAGGGTCACACAGGTAAGGGTTACATACAGAGGTAAGGGTTACACACACACACAGGTATGGGACACACACACACACAGGTAAGGGTTACACACAGAGGTAAGGGTTACACACACACACAGGTATGGGACACATACACACAGGTAAGGGACACACACACACACGCACAGGTATGGGACACACACACAGGTAGGACACACACACACACAGGTAAGGGACACACACACAAAGGTAAGGGTTACACAGGTAAGGGTTACACACAGAGGTAAGGTCACACAGCGGTAACGGCCACACAGAGGGTAACACGCACACTACAAATCAGAATCAGTGTCATGATTGTGGTTGTAGATGTATGTGGAGAGCGGTGGTGCAGCGGTAAGAATGCTGTACAATGAACCCGGCGACCCGAATTCGATTCCCGCTCACGATCAGCGGTGAATATCTTAACCGGGGCTCCCCTAGGTCGACTCAGCCTCTAATGAGTACCTGGTGCGACGTGTGAACATCGCCCCTGGGGAGGCAAAGGCGGCCGGGCGTGGTGCTGGCCACCCACCGACCCCCTCGTGCGCCGTGCCGGCCTTCATAGGGTGCTACTCGCTAACAGCACTTGCCCCTACAGTCTGTTGAAGGCTACACGGGGGATCTTTGTCTGTGCGCTTGTCGCCTTGCAGCCGCCTGAGCAGCATCGTCAGCGCCCTCTTCCCGAAGGGGTCACGGAGCGTCGTGCCGAGAGACACGCCACTCAACATCTTCGTGAAGATCATCCAGTTCATTGCCCAGGTGAGGAGAGCCTCTCATCCAGGTGAGAGCCCCCCCCCTCCCCCCTCCATCCAGTTCATTGCCCAGGTGAGGAAAGCCTCTCATCCAGGTGAGAGCCCCCCCCCTCCCCCCACCATCCAGTTCACCCGCCCAGGTGAGGAGAGCCTCTCATCCAGGTGAGAGCCCCCCCCCTCCCCCCTCCATCCAGTTCATTGCCCAGGTGAGGAAAGCCTCTCATCCAGGTGAGAGCCCCCCCCCCTCCCCCCACCATCCAGTTCATCCGCCCAGGTGAGGAGAGCCTCTCATCCAGGTGAGAGCCCCCCCCCTCTCCCCCCTCCATTCAGTTTATCCGCCCAGGTGAGGGCCGCTCACTCTGAGTGCCCCAGGCCTACCCGCGGCGCACACGTGCAAACAAAGATAAAGATCCCGCAGATCAAAGCTCAAAGTTCATGTATTAGGTATATAGCCCTGTGAGCCATTCGGCTCTTGAATCGGGTGCAACCGCAACAAACAAAAAAACATGAACAAGAAAACATCTTGTAGTGACTATGTGACTGAGTGCAAACAGAAAATCCAAGAAAAGACAGCAAAATATTGCAGAAAAATCACCGTACACCAACACTGTGCAAATATCCCAGTGGGATGCAAGTCAAACAACAACAACAACCACAAGACAACTTAGATTAAGGCCATCAGTCTAACTCTGTACTACAACAAACAAACATGGCCAAACCAAAAAACTTTTCGAAATCACCAAAATAAATCCATGAAAGCAATGAAACAGTGCAGGTCATAGGAACTGTGACCGAATTTTCACAATAAACGACGTCAACAACATGTACCACCAAACTCTGTAGCCTTCGACAGACTGTAAGGGCAAGTGCTCGTTTAGCGAGCAGAGCACCCTATGAAGGCCGGCGTGGCACGCTAGGGGGCTGGTGGCCTTTGTCTCCCCCGTGGTGATTTTTAAATCCTTTATATTAAGTTCACTTGCTTGCTTGCTTGCTTACGACCGTGCAAATCTTTCGGTCGTTTTTTAACCCACTTCCCGTGATCCAATCGAGTTGATATTTTGCACACAGACTCGTTGTGCGTGACAATTGATTTTCGTGAAAAAATTTCCAAAATTTTACACTGTTTATGAATTTTTTTAAAAATATTTAATTACCAATCGCTTAATGGTGGCAGACAATCATCTGACCCATAGGTGGCAGCCATCTGTGTTGACTAACCACATGGCATGAAATCCCTGCCTCCACGCTGTACAGTGGAGACTATTTATAGAGCAGTTAAATTGAAGCCGCCAGGTTCTTGAAAGTGGTAAAACGGGTCAACGCTAGTGCCCTCGAGAATATACGGGGCATGTCAAGAGGTGATCTTACATATAAAGGATTTATAGTGAAAAACTTTGTTTTTACGGGTTAATTTTTTACACACCAGGTACTCATTTGAGGTTGAGTCGACCTAGGGGAGCCCCAGGACAGGTTAATGTTAATCGTCGCTGGTGTTGGCCGTTAGCGGGATTCGAACTCGGAGACTTGGGTGAATATGTACGAGTGGACTTGCCGATGACCGGTACCAGCGGTGTCAAGATCGGCCTCTGTGGAGGAGGCTCGTGAAGGACGCTACTGGGCAGTTGGAGGCAGTCGCCCTCCAGCAACAACGGAGGGCGGAGGAGCGACGCTCGCAGCAACGAGCGGAGCGCCGGGTGGCTAAAGCACAGCAAGTTGGCACAATAGGGGGCACAGGTGGTGCATCGGCCACTCATGTCAGTCGGTCAACCCACGGCACCTGCTGGGTCTGTGACCTCTTGCCAGCGAGCCTTCGACACTTCACCTGGCCTCAAGGTGCACTTCACCTGGCACAGGCGTGGCGAATAGCGGCCGTTGTTATTTTTGCCGTGTCGTGCAGGAACGCCTGGACTTTGCCATGAAGGAGATCATTTTCGACCTCCTCAGTGTGGGGCGGTCACCCAAGACCTTCAGCATCAACCCAGAGGTACTCGGCGCGTGGAACGGAGAGAGCGTGCGCACGCCACGAGACGTCGTCGCGTTGGTCTGCATCCGTCAGCGGACTGGCCGTGGCGATGAGGCCTGACCTTGACGCTCACGGCAAACCCTCCGCGGGAAGGGGACAGACGCGCCGGCGCCTGGCACGCGGCGTCACCGCCCAGAGTGTTGAAAATCTGCGCAAAATCTAGTTGAATTTCGATTTAAGGCTTCTTTCGTGACTGCAGGGATTCATCTTCTTGGTTTTTTGGGTGAAGTCACGTAGAAGGGAAATGATAAAATAATAAAAATAAAGCGTAATAAAATGCAATTCTCACGATGTTTCGGCCACAACGCAAGCAGCCGTCCTCAGGTGAAGAACAGGTCTTGGTGGTGTTCATTCAGATGCTGTCTTTCCGACAGACGTGTTTGGTGGTGTTCATTCAGACGCTGTCTTTCCGACAGACCTGTTCTTCACCTGAGGACGGCTGCTTGCGTTGTGGCCGAAACGTCGTGAGAATTGCATTTGTTTATATAGAATTTTTATTATTTTATTATTTTCCTTCTACGTGATGACTTTACCGAAAGAAGCAAAAAGATAAATCGAATTGGGTTTAAAAAAACATATTTTTATCAAAGGAGGACCGAGTTCTCTAACCCTGGTTAAGTGAAGTCACCCGGTCCCCCCTTGTGGCCCCGCCTGTGCCCTCCGACCACCCAGCGGATGAACATCGGGCTGCGGGCCTTCCTGGTCATAGCTGACAACCTGCAGCAGAAGGACGGCGAACCGCCCATGCCCACGACTGTCGGGGTGCTGCCGTCGGGCAACACGCTGCGCGTCAAGAAGACCTTCCTGAGCAAGACGCTCACCGACGACGAGGCCAAGATCATCGGTACGAATCACGGGGCTGGGACGGGTTCTCTGTGCGGGTTTATGGGTATTTGTGTGATTCTACGGGTCTCTGTGTGAGTCTACGGGTTTGTGCGGGTATACGGGTATCTGTGTGAGTCTACGGGTCTCTGTGTGACTCTACGGGTCTCTGTGTGAGTCTACGGGTCTCTGTGCGCGTCTATGGGTCTCTGTGCGGGTTTATGGCTATTTGTGAGATTCTACGGGTCTCTGTGCGGGTTTATGGGTATTTCGTGAGTCTATGGGTCTCTGTGTGAGTCTACGGGTCTCTGTGCGGGTTTATGGGTCTCTGTGTGAGTCTACGGGTCTCTGTGTGAGTCTATGGGTCTCTGTGTGAGTCTACGGGTCTCTGTGCGAGTCTACGGGTCTCTGTGTGAGTCTACGGGTCTCTGTGTGAGTCTATGGGTCTCTGTGCGAGTCTACAGGTCTCTGTGCGAGTCTACAGGTCTCTGTGTGAGTCTACGGGTCTCTGTGCGGGTCTATGGGTCTGTGTGAGTCTATGGGTCTCTGTGTGAGTCTACGGGTTTGTGCGGGTATACGGGTATCTGTGTGAGTCTACTGGTCTCTGTGTGTGCCTACGGGTCTCTGTGTGAGTCTACTGGTCTTTGTGTGAGTCTACTGGTCTCTGTGTGTGCCTACAGGTCTCTGTGTGTGAGGCATTAGTCTATGGAGGGGCTTGACCTCTTCGACAGGGAAGCGACGTTCGATCTGAGGACGCGAGGTGCCAACGTACGATGAGACCGCAACTGTGACTGACCCCCCCCCCTCACCTCACCCCCCCCCCACCCCCCCCTCCACCCACGTGGTGTGCCAGGCATGGCTCTGTACTACCCGCACATGCGGCGCGCGCTGGACAGCATGCTGAGGCAGCTCGACAAGGAGGTGGGGCGGGCCATGGCGCTCACCAACGTGCAAATGCACAACAAGGAGCACCGAGGACATGATCACGTGAGCGGCGAGGGGTCGGGGGTGGGGGGCCAGGGGTTGGAGTTTCCTGGAGGGGAGGGAGGGGGTCAGGGGGGGGTCAGACGGGGTCAGGTACCGCTGAGGGGTTCGTGGCGTTAGAGGCAAGGCATGGGATGATGGTGGCACACAGACTCAACACTGACACAGTCTCAACACTGACACACAGACTCAACACTGACACACCAGCCTCAACACTCACACACAGTCTCAACACTGACACACAGACTCACCACTGACACACAACACTGACACACAGCCTCAACACTGACACATAGTCTCAACACTGACACACAGCCTAACACTGACACACAGCCTCAACACTGCACACAGACTCAACACGGACACACAGCCTCAACACTGACACACAGCACTCAACACTGAACACACAGCCTCAACACTGACACACAGACTCACACTGACACACAGACTCAACACTGACACTAGTCTCACACTGACACACAGCCTCAACTGACACACACACTCACACTGACACACAGCCTCAACACTGACACACAGTCTCAACACTGACACACAGACTCAACACTGACACACAGTCTCAACACTGACACACAGTCTCAACACTGACACACAGACTCAACACTGACACACAGACTCAACACTGACACACAGCCTCAACACTGACACACAGTCTCCACTGACACACAGCCTCACACTGACACACAGTCTCAACACTGACACACAGACTCAACACTGACACACAAACTCAACACTGACACACAGCCTCAACCTGACACAGTCTCAACACTGACACACACGCCTCAACACTGACACAAGACACACTGACACACAGACTCAACACTGACACACAGACTCAACACTGACACACAGCCTCAACACTGACACACGCTCAACACTGACACACAGTCTCAACCTGACCACAGACTCAACACTGACACACAGTCTCAACACTGACACACGACTCAACACTGACACACAGACTCACA